GTGCTGCCATCTGTTCGGGCAGCGCGTTGGGTTTTCACTATTCTGTTTCCCTTTTAAAGAACTTCTCTATCTTGATGAGGCAAGGACCTTTACGTGGCTGCGTGGCTGAGAAGTCGTAGTATCTATATCACAGAGTCGGCGTCAGTATGTCTAATATTGTCTTCGCGAGTTCAGGATTTTACGTGTAGTTGAAACAACCTTGGGGTCGAATATGCAGATGTTCTCAGTGACTCAGTAAGGCGTGTCAGACCTCAAAACTTCTCCATCACCAGCATGGCCATTGACTCCGACCTTTCGAATCTTGACTCCAAAGTATTCATTACTTCGGCTGGATGTACGTTGGTCATAGGTAGGCCTTCAACTGCTTCTTTGTTCTTCCCTTTCAGGTATCTTCTAAGTCGGTTTGCATTTTCAACAGCGCTGAACATCGCTTCTGTTTCGTAGTAGGCGGCGCGGTAAGGCAGCCGTTCCTAATGAGACCCACTGAAGAATGGTAACTCGACGAACTTAGGTCGTTGGTTGGCGCTGACAGCCCGAGTGATGGCTTCAGCTAGGAAGGCTACGTCGGTTTGACCTCCCGCCGGTGACTCATGTATTTATTCATGCTTCGGCGGCCTTGGTTCTTCTGTGTGGACGGTCGTTGGTTCTTCCACGGGATGGTGAGGTTCGTTGGTGATTTCTGACACCGGACGATTCACTTGATTCTCTAACCAATTGTCCACTCTTGCATTAACTTCTGACTTATAGAAGAGGGAGACGTCATCTTCTTCTACCTCCTCTTCTGACTCTTCCTTTTATATCTCGGACGACGACGGCTTGCGGTTCCTTACCCTCGGAGCACGTAAAGGCCATGCTGTGAGCCGATTTTCTTCGAATAACTTGAATCTTGAAAACACTTCCCTATTTTTCGGGAAGTCTTCTTAATTCGTTGTAGTAATATTTTCGAAGTCTTCAGGTAATTATTCCCCACAGTATGCGGTTCGGAGGACCATTAAATGTGCCCTACAGGCACAATTGTGTGCTGAGTTGGTGGGCACTAAAACCACTGAGATCTTCTTCCTTGTATATTTAAGGAGATTCTTTCGAGGTAGCTAGCCACCGACTGTGTCGAACGACGTTTTTTTTGCGCCCAGAAACAAAATAAAAATTATGAGATAAAGCTCTAAGCCAGGGGTGCCCATAAGGTCGATTGCGAAGGCTTTCAAAGTCGATCGTCGAGGAAAAATTTTTATGAAATGACCTTCAAACAGGTAGTTTATTGTTAAAAAAAAAAGAATAAAGAATTATGAAGACTGTACCACAACATCTGACCCTACCCTTCGGTGCTGGGGCGCGTGGGAGGGGGAGTCCTTTGCGCACGACGACGACAGCAACAGCAGGCACCAGGCAGTGAGCGATTAAGCGTCATTCAGTGCAGTCACGTACGTATCACCGCGAAAGTTAACAACAAGATAGCAGCTAAAAGGCGCATCATTATAATGAGTTATTTTATAACTATGTTTTATACATTATTTCTGCAACAAAATATTAATTGTTCGTGAAGAGATGCGATTATTGTCATATTTTTTTTGAAATTTTTAGCGTTCCTGGATACTAGTCCTTTAGAAACAAGTCAAAAATTTTATATATTATGTTTTTGCTGAAATCATATATACAACATAGTAATATATAAATATACAATTCATGCTATAAGGCTCTTGAGGTGCTACACGTGTGTTTTTTATTGTTTGTAGACGGAGAACCTTAAATCCCTGAAACAATGAGTGGGCTGAAGAAATCCAAAACGTATCACTTCAATCCTGAGTGGGAAGAAGAGTTTTTCTTCACTATGGTAAAAGAAAAATGTGTATGTTTGATATGCCGATTTGCCATCGCCACAACAAAACGAGGTAATTTGGAGAGACATTATAAAACCGTTCATAAAAACATGAAGACAGCTCTCCACGTCACAGTGATATACGAAAATCTAAATTGAAAGACATGAAGCGTTATTTGGCAGGTAAACAAGCCATGTTTACAAAACCGTTGGAGAAGTCCTAAGCGGCTACTATTGCATCATACAAAATAAGCCACATTTTAGCTAAAAATAAGAAGCCATTTGATGATGGAGTGATGATAAAAGAATGCTTTCTCGAAGCAGCTGAGTCTTTGTTCGTGAATTTAAAAAACAAAGCTGAAATAATTTCAACCATTAAATATATTCAACTATCCCGGCAAACCGTGACTAGACGTGTGGAAACAATAAGCCAGAACTTGGAAAGTCAAACTATGAATGATCTTAGAGACTGCTCTTTTCACTCCAATTTGATGAATCCACAGACGCAACAGATGTGGCGCAACTGTGTATTTTCATACGCATGGTCTTTCCAGATATGACCGTTAAAGAAGACTTTCTAACAATGATACCGTTGAAAGAATGTACTCGAGGAGTAGATATCTATGATTCATTTCTAAAGTACACACAAGAAGCACAAATGTCGCTGTATAAACTTGTGAGCTCCATCTGTGGTTATGCATCCACAGATGGAGCTCCAGTCATGACGGGCAACCATAACGGATTCATCGCACTGTGTCGAGCTAATGAAGAATTTCCGAGCTTTTTCGCCTTTCACTGTGTGATTCATCAACAAGCACTTTGTGGAAAAATATTAAACATGTAAGATGTCATGACGATAGCCTTCAAAGTAGCAAACTCCATCCGAGCGAGAAGCTTGCAGCGGCGATTATTCAAAGCACAACTGGAAAGCAGCGGATTTGAGCAAATTGACTTACTTCTTCACACAGATGTAAGGTGGCTAAGTCGTGGAAGATTCCTTGCAAGATTTCATGAGTTACTGCCTGAAATAATAATATTTCTAGAAGCCAGAGGAGACGATGTTGAAATGCTGAAAAATGGAAAATGGCAGAGCGATTTGGCCTTCTTAGTCGAAATTACAAAGCACCTCAACGATATAAACCTAAAGTTGCAAGGAAAAAATTGAAAATTGAAACAAGCGTAAGTTGAAACAATTGAAGGAAGAAATTAAAAACAAAGACTGCAGGAACTTTCCAACCCTGCTATTGCAACAAAACTCTGAAAGTTTCGTGTCATATGTAAACGAAGTGACAAAAATTCTGAGCGAATTTGAAAGACGCTTTGAAGATATTAATAAAATGGAGAATATTTTATCATTTCTGTCTTACCCATTTACCTGCACAAATGTTCATGAAATCTCTTCTTGCTGTAGCGACTATTTTAACGTGGAATGTAATGCTCTTGAGGATGAAATGTTGAAGCTCATTTCAGATATAAATTTAAAAGCTAAAGCCGGCAACAGTGATTCTTATTCTTACTGGTCATCAATATCCGAAATACAATATCCATTGATGAAACAAATTGCCCTGCAAATAACTGATTTCTATGCATCAACATATCTGTGCGAGTCTGCATTTTCGCATATGAAAATAATAAAATCAAAATATCGCACACGTGTAACAAATGACCTGACAGCCTGTTTGCGTTTAGCATTAACAGATCCAAGTCAGTTAATGACTTAGGAGCTTGGTTCCAGAAATGGCGTATCTAGTTGTACTAGGTATCTAGGTGACGAACAAGAACAAAGCACCGATGCTCCGGGAACTCTGCAGTCTGTGAACATGTTCAAGACCATCCTCGCCATTACATCGGATTTGATAGACCACAAATCCTAGCAAAAGAACACTGATTCCTACCAAGGATGATACGGGAGGCTATGGAAACTTAAAAAAACATCCCAATATCAATAGACAAAATGGATAGCTGCTGTCATCTGTCTGGGATCCTATAATAAATAAAATTAAATCCAAACCCAATCATACCACTACAAGACTTCAAAATACGCTCGTTACGCGTAGATTGAACTAAAAATTAATATTCAAAACCTGAAGGTATCTGGTTAACTATGACTTTGGGACGTTAAACATCTCAATCTACCCGTGACAATCGGTAGTTTTGAGTGCTTTAACTCAAAACTACCGATGTTTTCGCGTTTAACTATTTAATTTACTTTTTTTAATTCCGGACAAATAGTTTTATTCAACCTAGTAATAAGATTTTGTTTTTATACCTATTAACACAGACCTATTGCACCTAGATTGCCAAAGTTATTTTTGTTAAAGGATGTGTAGATATACTATAATTCGCTTAGAGTATGCATAAACTATACAACGCCCGTATCGCTTATCTTCAGAAGTACTATAGATACTGATGTAGAGTCCGTTTCACGAAAGAAGTCCCTTAGCTGCGACATCACAGCCTTTACAAATTTGACATCTAAGGCTGGGGATACACATGCCAGTAAATCGGGAAAGTAGCTGGCATGAAAGTTACTGGCATGTACGAGTAACTGGCACACTGCGGATACTTTTGCATGTAATGCTGGCATGCAAGTTGTGCCCTTGCACTAGTATTACCATTGCGTATACACAGGACAGTTCGTGAGTGTCACTCGGTACCTATTCTTGCGTGCCAAAAATGGATAACAATTGAAGTGAATTAAACAAAATCGTATTGTTACTAGCTATTGAATGTGTAGCTAAATTAATGAGAGATAAAAAGGAAAAAGAAGAAGACGGGCTTGGGTAAGAGATTGGATTAGTAGAAGGGATGATTTTGGAGCAAGTAGTTGTCTGCTTAAAGAAATGCGTCAAGAAGATCCTGATGGTTACAAAAACCATTTGAGAATGCTCCCAGAAAAATTTGATGAATTGTTAGGAAAAATTAGGGACAAAATAACAAAAAATGATACTCACATGCGAAATGCCATCCCAGCAAAAACCAAATTGGAAATAACATTAAGATTTTTAGCTACAGGTGATTCATTTGTATCTTTAGAAGCATTGTACAGAGTAGGAAAATCGACGATTTCACAGTTCATTCCAATTGTTTGTAGTGAAATAGCTACTGCACTAAGGGATTTTATTAAAGTGAGTAAAACAATGTCGAATATCTTTCATGGTTTTTATTTATTTCAGCATAGAAATTAGGCATTATTCCAAGCTTGGTTAAAAATATTCTGTCCTGATTCTTGACCAAAAGTGATAGTGTTATCTTCTGTAGTGTTTGACTGCGTGTATGGTATTATGTGTATGAATCGATCATCGGCAGAAGATGCTGCTGTTTCTTCAGAATATATAGATGTGTTAGAATACGGAGTGGAAGGCTGAGAATATGAAGTGGAAAATCGAGACCTTTTTGTACTTAGCAAAACTCGAATTTTGGATTGCATATCCAGAGCGTTATTTAATGGCAATAATCTTAACTGAGCAGCAACACTTTGTCCGAAATAATAAAACTCATCTTTTTCTTTTTCATTTGATCCAGGATTATTGATTGCAGTAGCAATATTTTCCAGATGTTGAAGTTCAGTTAAGGTTTCGTTTTGCTCTACGTTTTTCTTAGTCTGACTAGTTTTGTGTGGTCGGTTGACTGCTGCAGTGCGAGAGGAGGATTGCTGATCCTGGAGAGAGGGTGATGGTACTTGCTCGTTTGTAATGCTTACTTGATTGGATGAGTGTGATTGGTCGACTGCGACAGAGAATGTTTCGTTGTTTGGTGGGTTGACTGCTTGAGAGGGGGATTGCTGGTCTGATGAAGTACCTCTTTGAGAGCGTGGTGTTTCTGTTTCAAGTGTTCGATTGAGAGGACTGTTGTACCTGTAAATTTTATTTTTTTAATTAAGTGATGGTACTTGCTCGTTTGTAATGCTTACTTGATTGGATGAGTGTGATTGGTCGACTGCGACAGAGAATGTTTCGTTGTTTGGTGGGTTGACTGTTTGAGAGGGGGATTGCTGGTCTGATGAAGTACCTCTTTGAGAGCGTGGTGTTTCTGTTTCAAGTGTTCGATTGAGAGGACTGTTGTACCTGTAAATTTTATTTTTTTAATTAAGTGATGGTACTTGCTCGTTTGTAATGCTTACTTGATTGGATGAGTGTGATTGGTCGACTGCGACAGAGAATGTTTCGTTGTTTGGTGGGTTGACTATTTGAGAGGGGGGATTGCTGGTCTGATGAAGTACCTCTTTGAGAGCGTGGTGTTTCTGTTTCAAGTGTTCGATTGAGAGGACTGTTGTACCTGTAAATTTTATTTTTTTAATTAAGTGTTACGGGTAATATTCGTTACTTTGTATGTGTTAACAGACATTTTGTTTTCAGATTCCTACGAGGCAGGAATGGAAGGAGATAGAAAATGGCTTTCGAACCAAATGGAACTTTCCAGGCTGTATTGGAGCTATCGATGGCAAACACATAAATATTATTGCTCCTGGCGAAACCTCAAATAATTTTAATTATAAAGGAAGCCACAGCATAGTGCTACTAGCATTGGTGGGTGACGATTACTGTTTTTCTTATATTGATATAGGATGCAACGGCAGAGCTTCAGATGGAGGAGTGTTTGAAAGATCAGTCTTGAAACAAGCATTAGAAAATAATTATTTAGATATTCCTGAACATTCTGTTATAGTTGTAGATGCAGCTTTTCCCTTAAAAAAATATCTCATGAAACCGTTTCCTACCAGGGCCACCCGAAGAGAAAAAGTTTTTAATTATCGGTTGTCAAGGGCCAGGCGAATTGTCGAAAATGCGTTCGGTATCCTTGTATCAAGATTCCGAATTTTTGAATCATTTATAGCTCTAAAACCAGAAAAAGTTGACGTCATAGTATTAGCGGCATGTTCTTTACACAATTGGTTGCGGAAAACCACTAATACTTATATCACACAAAGGTTTGTGGATTATGAAGATATTCAACTCAGTACTATTATTAACAGCTTCTGGCGTGATCAGTTACAAAGATCTTTACGTAATTTTTCAGGAACACGAAATAATCTATCGTCTAGAAAAACTATACTTATTAGAAATAAATATGCAGATCTTTTCATTACAACAGAAGCAGTGCCTTGGCAAGATCGTATGATTAATATTTTAAATGAATAAATGTAATTGTCTAAGTACTTTTGCTTAATATAACTATTGTGTCAACTTTTTTTTACATAATAATAGATAAAAATATAGTATAAAAAAACACGCTTTTAGAGCACATCGACCTAAAAAGTAAAACATAATTTTTAATATAAGCTGATATTATTCTGTTAGCAAATCGAGTCTAAAGAAGTCGGTTATAAACATATGAAGCTAATAAAAGCGTGTTAAAGAGAAAGAGTGGGTACTTACAACAGCGGTTTGGATTGAGTTTCTATATTCGAAACTTTCATTTATAAAATCCATTTCCTTATACCAAATCAAACTGGGTTTGTAAATTATGTCACTGGATTCAGCTCCGGATCGTTTTGAATTTTCCACTTTATTCTTTTCTTGATGATAAGTACTTCGCAGACTTTTGATTTTATTTTTAAATTTTTTTTTCAGTCAGACTAAATTCTTCTTGTATTTTGGTGTAGACATTGGCACGTGCTATTTTGTTTTTGTAAAGCGGGCTAGTCGACTTCCAAAGACATGCGTAGTCTCTGTACAAATGAATGAACTGTATAGTTCTCTCATCTCCCCCATCGTGCCATGTTGAATACAAAAAAACAACAAAAGAATGACTTGAAAAAACTTGACCTTCTAAAAAAAACAATAACGTGCGCCTACGCCCACAACGCGTCAGCTACTGGCATGCCCGTAGCTGTCGCGTCTGTTCCCCCGTGCCAGTTTGGCAACCAACCAACTCAACGGGCATGCAAGTAAATCAAATGTTGTGCTAGCTACTTGTATGCTAGTTACAGGCATGCCAGTTAGCGTATACACATGACAGTAGCTGGCACGGCCATGTGTATCCCCAGCCTAATGTCAAATTCCATACATAAAATTTTAGTTCGCACATTTTCCGCGGGACTTCTTTCGTGAAACGGACTATATAAATAAAGCGGTTGAATAGTGATGCGCTATGATTAACGCCTTGATTAATTATTAAATAAGGTAAGTATTTAGTAAATATAAGGTAGGTATTTTATTATAAGGTAGGTTTAAGCAGATCAATAGAAGGCAGGTAGTGTTTGGGCACTGACTGATGAGGTGTAGCTGTTACTGATGTATTGGCTTTTTTAAGCATACCTGTGATAACTTGCTCACGAAACTCTGTTATTGTTGGTTATTTTTATGGGTATATTGGTTATATAAGAAATGAGCGTTCACCAAGCTCGTGCGCCATATAGTATATATAACAATTTCGGATACCATTGGGTACATTTACGTAAAGCTGATCCATAAATTACCAACTGGTCACTGCCATCGGTTGAGGATTTACCATGGTTAAGATCTTCAATACATTTTTATAGGACAGGAGGCCAACGAGGATACCTTTATGTTAAATTTTCTCCAAAAAACAACAAATGTAAATCTCTAAGGGATAGGGGATATCAGCTAAATGTCTCGAAACTGATATTAGTTGGTGCCAGAGGCTGTTTTAAGCATGCCGCATCCAAAATATGGAGTGATTTACCACCGCCAGTTCGATCTTCGTTAAAGCTCTCGCTGCCGACGTTCCGCAAAAATGTTGCGACTGGCAGTCACTGGCACTAACTGACTATAAGTTTGTTTAATAAAAGGCCCTTTCAAAAACTACATATATGTTAAAGTTTATTTTGATGTACAAAAGCTTAGATTTTACTATAATTTTAAGATAAGATACTACCTAATACTATATACAGACTACCATGTTTAGGCTATGGCAGAATACCAGGGTCTGTGGGTCTCCCACATTCACTGAGCCATAGAACATTTTGTTTCCAACTAGCATAATAAAATTTGTTTATGTTGATGGATTTGTAATTTTTTGAGACAAATAAAGACTTTTATTATTATTATTATTATTAGCATTCCGCTCGTTTCGCCCATGAACAACTGCAATACCACAGTAATTGGAGCTGCGTTGTAGGCCTTTTAGAAAGGAGTAAGCTCTTTCTTTTAAAGCTCCTTAAGGTGCCCCTAGTCGATGGCACGAACTAAGTGGTGGGCGGGGTAACAATTCATGCTATCTCAGCCGACATCACGTGCGAAAGGGATAGACGCTGTGAGAATCAGTAAGAAGCTAGTGCACACACACATACGCACTCGAGTGACGCAATGCGCGACGGCGTCATCGCGTACCTACCTATGCGATTCATTTTTGAATAATAACATAAACTCAAACGGCCATTGTGAGCTCCGTGCTGCAGTGGCTTAGTAATGAGGCTGCGCTGCTGGGAGCCGCGGGTTCGAATCCTGCCTGGAACAAATATTTGTATGGACTACAAATAGCTGTTCCGGGTCTGGATGTTTGTCCTTGTGTAATTTATGTTTGTGAACTGCCTCCACGATACTGGAGAAAATCCTACTGTGAGGGTAACGTATTTTAAAAAGAGAAAGGAGAGAGAAAGCAAATTGGTGTTATTGTAACTTAGGATCTGCTGTGTGAAACGTAATTATTATGAACCCAATTTATGTAGTTGTTATTATGAAAGTTCTTACGTGAACTATACTATATTATATAATAATTTCATTGATTTTTTTTTTTACCTACTTTTTAACCGACTTCGAAAAAAAGGAGGTGGTTCTCAATTTGTTGGTTTTTGTTTATGTATGTTCTGTCCCCCGATTTCTCGAAGATGCCTGAACCGATTTGGAAAATTATTTTTTTGTTTGAAAGGATATATTTTCCAGATAATCCCACGGTAATCGATGATGGTCAGGTCAGGATCTGATGATGGGATCTTGGAGAAATCGGGGGCACTCTTCAATAAATGACAGCAAATCAACCGGGATTGCTGCTTTCGCCTATCTATGCATTCTTTACGCAATCACACAATATAATATCACGCCTGTACTCAATAAAGGGACATAACTCTCAACTAAAAATGGTAACATAAAAAACTTTTTTTGACAAAAATTTTTTTTTGTCAAAAAAACATTTCTAAAACAAATACAAAAAAAGCGTAACATAATTATGTTTTCTTTATGTTTTTGTATTTTATTGTAGGTTATGCAAATATTACTGTAGGTACCTACTATGTATTCTAAATAGGTATTTACTTACCATAGATAGTTAGCTATTAATAGCCCACTGGCAACTCCCCGAAGAATATGCCAGCCAGTGTCAGGATAACTGCTTTTTCGATAGCGCGATTTTGATGTGAGTGGGGCTTTTATATAGGTTAATTAAATAAATATAAAATTTTAGTTTGTAAATTGTTTATTGATTGTTTGTGTTCAATAGCGGTTTGCAATATTCTCTTAGTACTTAGAAAGTTATCAACAAGTAGGCATTGTGTCACTGCAGGGACAAGCACAAACGTCTATCAAAATAGTAGCGTATATAAACGGAATACTAACAGCACAGACTTTCTTACAGAAGTCCAAAGAACACGTCTAGACAAGGTAAGTAATTAGAAGAAAACTACAATTTAGAGATCGACTGTACTATTTTATTTAGTAGTAGCTTATATAATAGTATAGTAAATTATATATATAAAATATGAGTATGTCTGAGTTAAGGTTAAATATAAACATATATTTTTCCAAGTGCGAATCGGACTTCCGAGCTTCCGTACCATCTTAAAAGATTTAAATACCTATACATATTACTATCGATCAAAAAAAGCTAAAAAAAATACACGTTTCCTTTTCTAGTAGAAAATCCTTTAATTTCAAATTTATTTTTACTATTTTCTGTTATAGCGGCAACAGAAATACACGTTCTGTGAAAATTACAACCATCTACCTATTACGGATCATGAGATGCAGCCCGCTGACAGACAGACACACGGACAGTGGAGGCTCCGTAATAGGGCCCTGCTGGTTACCCTTCGGGTACGGAATCCTAAAAAGTACTTAGTTGTCCACTCACATCTGTATGATTCTTTCTTCAAAGGACCATATTAGCCTGGTTCTCGTATGTCGTGACCAATGTAATACCTGGACTGACCTCTCTGAGTTTGTTTCGGCAGATCGGGTGCTTCTTCTCAGTTTTATGTTTTTGTTGTGTTAAAGTGTTTTAAAAAAAAACAAAAAGTAAAGTAAAGTAAAGTTGCAGCCTATATACGTCCCACTGCTGGGCACAGGCCTCCCTCATTTCTGAGAGGGTTTTAGGGCAGGGAACTGTCCGCCGCGCTGCCCCAATGCGTGTTGGCTAACTTCACATCTCTTCGAAATATTTTTTTCTTATTCCTCAGACATGCAGGTTTCCTCACGATGTTTTCCTTCACCGCCGAGCACGTGGTAAATCAGCTCTTAAAATTGCAATTAACAATTTCATTGGTGCCGGCGGGGATCGAACCCGGGTTACTCGCGTTCTGTTATATTTACAGCGAGCGTTAACCATCTGAGCTACCACGGCTCATGACTCAAAAAAAAAACAACTTACAAAACAAATTTTATTTATCATTAACTGCCCTTCTTAGATTCTTATGTACTTACATAAATTACATTAGGTATACTAAGATATGAGATTCCTATACGTAAACACGATTATAGAAAATCTAAAAATTACCTATTCTAATTAAATTAATAGACAATTTTAAGATTTTCGCTAATCGTGCTTATCTATGAGATGTTTTCGTTAGTTAGCAAATTAAAGTAGTTAAGTACCTAATGTACTACCTGTATCGAAAGTTCATTATTATGTACCTACCTGTTTTCAATTTTAACTAAATGTGCTTCAACAAACTTATGGGCACATTTTAGCAGCTATATTCATCCCGGCTTCAGCAATGGACACGAACAAAAGGAAGCAATTTTTCTAAATAAAGATGTAGATATGTAGGTATTACAACCATAAATAGATAGCAGCGGCTAACCTAGTGAGCATGTGTGAATGCGCGCTGCGCCCCCCCCCCCCCGCCCTCCGTCCGTCCCACTGATCGGGGAAACAATTTGTAGCGAAAGGCAAGATGATTTACAACAAAAAGGGGCGCGCGAAATTTTATAAACAGACCTTTGGTAGTCTGGATGTCATGAAAAATCTATTGAATGTATCTGTTTAAAATAAAATTATTTGCATTTTTGAACAACTAATCTATCCCTGTATGGTAACTGTTTTGCAATTTTCATTCTTCTTATAGTATTTATTTCCACCCAAAGATGTATTAAAACTAGTGTTGAAATTTGGAATTTTCGACGCTTATAACTTTTAAACATACTCTTTTTTTTTACTTTTTTGTTTCCATACAGGGCTAGATAATGATAAGACCAATTGAAATCATTATTTTTATTTTGAACGTACACCATCAAACAGTGGAGTAATCACCAGACTACGTTTGTATGGAAGAATAAGCGACTAGTGTACCCTTAAGTCGTATCGGTCCGGAAAAATCGCCGGTGGTAAACGAGGACAACAAAGAGTATGTGCGAGGAAGGCAACTTCCAGTAAAACGCGCAGTTGTAGACCGCCAAGCACCCAAATGGTGTGGATGGTATCGTAAGCGTTGTCACAATGTGCAATCGCAAAATGTGGCGGCGGCTGGAATTAATCCGAAGAATTCCTTAGATGCAACATCCCTTCGCAGTGCCAGTGAATCAGCTAAATAAGAAAGAACTCAGTTGTCGACGATTTGACATTTTCTACGCTGGATGCGGTCAAGTGGAAGGAGCTGGAACTGGGTACCCCGGCCACAGATGTGCTTTCTGACGTATACTCAAACTCCAGCCCGAGACACAAAGACCAATACTGTACCAATTTGTATCCGGATAGGAAAGATACGATTATCAGGCGAAATTTTATTTTTGCCCCCCTAGAATTACGCGGGGCAGCCTGAGTACCCACGCTCAGGAGTGTAATAGCTTGAATGCCAGTGCAGGATTCTCCATTACTGGGGGGGGGATGGAATTGGGCCTTTGGCCACCTCACTCATCAAACGAAACGCAGAAGCAGAACTTCTACAACACGCTGGTATTCTGTGAAGTCGTGGTATACCCCGGTTCGAGCCGACCCATACGTGCAACAGCAAAAGCTGCCGCGTGGCTTTGCCACTTAAAATGCAAGTGTAATAGGTCAGTGGTTCTGTGCAATGAATGCGTAAAGCCGCTTCTACACCTTTGTACTTTGCAGTACAACAGAGAGCGTTTGATTTTTTTGATTTCTTTTGATTGAGTTTTGTCGCATTACTTCCTTAAAAATTTATTTCAAGTTTTATTTTTGTTCTATTCCAAGCGAAATTAATTGACTTGGCACCTCTTACATGATCGCGTTAAGTACATTATATATTTTACTAGGCTGCACTAAAAGTATCGGGAATGGAATATTTCCACTGTTCCTGGAATAATATTCATATTAAA